TTAGCTGGCTGTATGTAGTAGAGGCAGTCCCCGACTTACGCGGATCCGACTTATGTCGGATCCGCACTTACGAACAGGGCGAGAAAAGCTTCTCCCGGTCTCCCTGGTCTGCTGGGGGGTCCAGCGGCTTTGCTGGACCCCCCCAGCAGACCAGGGAGACGGGGAGAAGCTTTTCTCTCCCCAGAGGACATGGGTGGCGACCCGCCGCCCGTGAGCTCCGGGGCGAGAAAAGCCCCGTTCGTAAGTGCGGATCCGACATAAGTCGGATTTGCGTAAGTCGAGGACTGCCTGTACACTTAAAGCTAAGGTACTTGGGCTTTGTAGGAGACGTTTAAGGGCTGACCAAATCTAGGGTTAGTGGTTTGGAATGCAGTCTGGAGCAGTGATGGGCAACCTAGGCTAGTGAGTAGGCCAGATGAGTTGCCCTCCTTCATTTCAGTGGGTTGCAAGATTGCCGTAACCAAGACTGTCTCCCAGGAGAAGGTAGTTTTGTTAACTGTGCTTGCATACATGGAATTTGCGGGGTGTGCTGATTTTTAAACCAAAGTAGTGCTTTGATTGTATGCAAAGGGAGCTCATGGCTTTCACTGTCAGTGTTGTTTGCAATCAGCATGCACCTCACTTCCTGTGCCCTTTCTTTATGTTGATGTTAATTTAGGTAGGGGAGAAAAAACTACATGGATGGAAATTAGGGAATCTGACATCCCTGCGCATGGGCAATGGTAAACAAAATGTATCAGGGTCACGTGTAGAACTCTGATGGGCCTCATGCAGCCTGTGAGTTGCATGTCGCCAACCATTGGCCTAAAGTTGGAGTAGTAGTGGCTGGAGTAGTAGTGGAAGTAATCCTCTTCTGTGCAACTGCTTCATTTGCAGAGGGAAGACAGTACTTGATTGGTGTTGAAGCCTTTGTTCCAGGTCTTCATGGTGGGCTGAATTTCACCCGTTCTGAATTTAAAAACTACTGTAATTGATGATACATGCCTAAAAGGCAAGCACTTGTAACGTCTGACAACAATTTATAACTCTTATAGTATTCCGGTGACCACAGAAGCACTGTTTCATTTTTTCTTTAAAATTTACTTCAAAAATTTACTTCAAAAAATTTTTTTTCTTAAGTGCAGCCATATGGGATCTGTGGCATAATTACCGCTTTTTTGGTCTTTAATGGGTCACCACTGGCTGCAACAATAAAATAACTGATTATACATTACATAAAGTAGTTATATTGTTTCCTTGATCCAAAGCATTGCCAGTGAAATGTATTAGATTGTGAAATAGTTTTCCAAGGGAAGTAGTAAACCCATAACTCTGAGTACTTTTATGTAGACTAGACAAAGCACTAAAAACTTATTGTAAAAAAGCTATCCCTCCACATTATTGCATTGTGAGGCTGATGTACTAGATAATAGAATAGGTCTATTTTATCTTTCAAATTCTGTTAATGCAAAAATAGTATATTTAACATTGTTGTTTAAATTCATGTCAAATACAGTAGATAAAGTCTGTTTTCTTATCCTTACAGTCTGTTGTAAGAACATGGTGGGTTAGAGATCAATTATACAAGTGATTCTTTTATTTAAAATTAGTTGGATGAAAGCTTACTAGACATCTGGAAACAATCAAAATATCTCCTCTTCTCTCTCTAAGTACAATTTTCCAATCTAAAAGTAGCCTTAAATGTCTATATATTTTTCTTGTGCACTGTATTAAATTCAGGAGCCATCATATAGACTTCGAGATTAATTCTGGTCAGGGTGTTTCTGCATGTGAATTGCAGAAAGCTTCCATTCAGATCACTGTTTGTAATAGACCTTTGCAGTAGTTTGGAGAACAGGCACTTAGCAGTGTGTCAAAGGGACCAGAATAAAGTTCTATTCCATGGTGTGGCTTGTAATTATGGATTTCTGTAATGTAACTTTACACATTTGGTTCCTAATTTGTATTGGTTTGGGAATAAAAGTTTGGGAGGAACACCTTTTGCGTAGTTAATGAGCTATTTAATGGAAGCGCATGTACTCATGGGCTAAATATTTTTTGGTAAACCTTCTCCTTTGTTTCCCATAGCCATGGTCAAAGAGACACTGCACAAATACTTTTGATGAGAGGAGCCAAATACTTACCAGACAAAAATGGAGTTTCACCACTGGATCTCTGTGTACAGGTATAAATTTGCTTTACATTAACAAGTGCTGTGCATACAATTGATGTGGAACGATTTTTTTTCTCCTTTCTGCTCTCTGGAAAGCAATGACTTCATTACTAGAGGTCAAAGACCTCTTTTGAGGCACTTTGGGGAAGCAGCTCCACCTTACTCTTCTGGTTTGACTTGTTGGATTAGTTTAGAATAGCACAACATATTCTGTTTTTTTTTCTATTAATTCCCTTAGAAAATATTTATTTCCTGAATAATCAGAAAGAATGTATATTCTTGCTTTGGTCTAGATCCACCAAGATTACCTTATTAGGCTAGGTATATAGAAGATTGATGCGTCTAGCTGTTCACAATATTAGGGTGTTAAAATAAGTAAACTGACAGACATTGTTGGCCACTTCTTAAAGGTCACGTTCAAGCCATTAATCACATTGTCTTGAAGGAAACACATTCTATTTTAGATGGTCATGTGTAAAATGGTAAAAAAGCTAAGAGCCAAAGGCCTCTATGTAAGAATAACTTCATTTCTTCAAATACTAACTTTTCAAGGTGATCAAGGAGATCTTGTTGCTGAGCCTTCAGTTTTTTGAAGGTATTACAATCTTCACATCCAGGCCTCTATTCTACAAAGGATGAGGATGTTATGACTTTCTGTTCCTACACATTTTCAATGGCATACAAAACTCCAGTTTTGTCAGTTTACAAGGTTTGATAGAATGTACATACTATAATGAGTGTCCAGTGATGTGTCTCTTTGGGCAAGACAAAGGATTAATATTTCGGATATTAAATACACTATTTCCAAATCCTCTTTTAAAGTTAAGGTAGGTCTTTTATTGCCTTCTACCTTCTGAAGACTGCACACACAAATTCACTCCTGATCACCTACAATTAAAGAATACCTGTAAACATTTGACAGCAGTTTTACTATTCATGCTTCTGGAATATTTTAAAGAAGGATGATTCTGAAAGATTTGTTTAATATATTAATCTAAAATGTCTTCCTCAATTCATATCACTTTTAGTATAATCCTTGGATTTAATAGGTCTAATTGTTTTTATTACTGTCATTTTGGGGTCAGTTCCCTTAGCTCTAGTACACTGCTTTCCGTCAGTTGACATCCTTGCTAGTATTTGTCTAGTCTACCCAAAACTTAGTAACATACTAGGGATGTTAAATTTAGTTTAATTTTTTTTTTTTTTTTTTTTGGGCAGGGGAGCCACAGCCAGCCCAGCCCTGCTGCAGTTCTGCCTTTTAAATGTATTAAAAGGTTCTGCTGCCCCTCCTCCCCCGCACTGTGCACCAGCCTTTTAAATGTATTAAAAGGTTAGTTTCCAGAGCAGTAGGTGGAACCTGCACAGTGTAACTTAGGAAGTGGATAAATAAGACATTGATATTGAAGAGATGGGAAGGAGTATTACGGATGTTGCTGCCTCTTGGACAGTACTGAATGTAATACCTCTCAGCAGGCAAGATCTGGCCCGCCTAGGGCTTTGATCCGGTCTGTGAGGCAGTTCCGGGCCCTGCCTCCTAGCGGGTGTGCCTAACCTCTGGCACATGTGCTGCGGGGGAAGGAGCTCAGCCTCACCTCTCCTCCTGTGCGCAACCGCTGGAGAGCACTTCCTCCTCCTGCAGCAGGTTAGGCTGCTAAGGAAAATGAGGGTTATAAAGAACTATATTAATATGTAATTATTTTAAATATAAGTGAAGCATAAGTTCTGTTGACTAGCAGAAAAAATGTAGAGATGTGATACAATTCAGAACTCCAGATTTTGGGAAGTTCATTACTAAATCTGGTGTCTCAGGCAAAGATCTAGTCATAATACTTTGATTTTTCTTGCCCTGTACATTTTAACTTAAGTTATACATTGTTTATGGAATTATTGCACAGCCAGCATCAGTTTGCTCAAAAAATTGTGCACATTAACTGTGTTTTGGGAAATTAGTTTTGAGTGCAACAGGTTAGAATAGCAACAAATGTAAATGCAGGAGCTAATTCCACTATGATTTGTGTACAACTTTTTTTCCTGTGTTCTTAAGAATTATCAGTTAAAATGGCTGCTGGAATATAAAGTTACTGCAGTTTCTGAAGGGTGAAATTGCTTTGAGAAGAGAAAGTGAGAAACTGAGACTAATGCTTAACCTATGAATGTGTTCATCAATCCTTATTAACAAAAAATCCACTCAGCACTGAAACAACTTTTGATTTAACATGCAAGTCTTCACTTTGAGATTTGGTCTTTGTGTCTTCTGCATTTGTTCTTTAGTATTGTTCCCTAAGAATGGACTGTCTGGCTGTAGGCATGCATAAACTACATGGTTTTAAAAATTGTTTTTATAATGCTTGCTTTAAAAATGCTATTATACAGGGTGGATATGGAGAGACTTGTGAAGTTTTAATACAGCATCATCCTAGACTCTTCCAGACAATTATTCAAATGACACAGAATGAAGTTCTTCGAGAAAACATGGTAATAAAACATTTGTGTGTGTGTGTGTGTGTGTGTGTGTGTGTGTGTGTGTCTGCAAGCTTGTTAATGCGTTCTTTCTACTTCTGTACCTTCCCCAACAGATTAAACACTTCAAACTTGACTCAAATTCAGTGAAATTACACTGACACATGATCATGTTTACAATGTGTACTTAAACATGAATTTTTTGCTTACAATGGTGTACTTCAATAATTGGAGACATCCAGCAGTTCTGATGAGAAGCCCATTAAACATGGAGAACTCATTTGTCTGTCTCTCTAGTGCAGAACTTCATGTGCTTATAAAATATACTGATTTAACATGAAAATGTACAATGAGTTAGCTGAGAGATTAATATGTACTGATTGCTACCATGGCATGCTGGCTTGAAATTTGGTGTAGCCTACAAGTAAAAGTGTTTAGATTTTATCTAGAACTCTGTTAATATGCTGTCATAACTTTGGAAGACTGATCAGAGTAAGAGCTGGAAGACGAGGCCTTTTGCGGGTTCTTTGCAAAAAACCCCCAAACAAACCAACTTTGGTACAGCATAAGGATGTTTAAAATGAGATTATCTGGCTAATCGTATAGTCCAGGGGTCAGCATCCTATGGCTTCTGAGAGAAACAGATATAGCTCTTTTGAAGCTCAAGCCCAGCCCCTACTTGGTTCCCCCGGAAGCAGGTGGCCTGCACTGGAGATGTAGCAAGCTGGGGCAAAACACCTCTGCTGGCTGGATCAGGCCCATGGAAGCAGCAGGGAGCTCCCAGGCTGCCTCCTCTGCTTGCCCCTGCACACCATAAAGAAAAGCCACTGTGGGGCTCTTCGTTTTACATAGGCTGTGAGCAGGCAAGGGAGAGGGTTGTAGTGCCTCAGGGCTGCTCCCATCCCCAGCACAATCCCATTGGCTGGGAGTAAGTATGATTTCCCTGAATTATCTGGTTGAGAATAACCAGAGCTTGACAATCTATTGAATCTACTTGCTCGGGGTGAGTAGAGTTCAGCCCGGCGCCCTGTTTACCGGCAGCGGCGTATGCGCAATGCGGCTCTTGCACATGCGCAGTATGGGGATGGCGAGAGGCTTTCGCCGCAGTTCGTCAAGCCCTGAGAATAACTATAAGGTGGGTTTATGTTCCCCTCTTCCAGATTTTCATTTAATATGATGATGTAGCGAGCTGCACCCGGGTCCTTTCCTGATCACAGAAGATTATGGGTCTTGAAATAATTTCCAGCTCATTTTGCTTTTAGTCATTCTCTACCTTGCTCCCTTTACTAGTATAAACAGGATCATCCCTAGGGAAAATAATGTCCTGGGTGAACTTGTATTCCCCTCTCATCACTTCTGGTCTCCACAGGCTTTCTAGGCTTCCCACCCCCCGCACAATTTCCATGCCCTACTGCTCTCCCTGACCCTGGTCCTTAATTTGTATTGAAAGAGGTGCCAGAGCTCAGGCCCAGCACAAATTAAACACTGGCTAAGTGGTTTGATAATGGCTTCTGGAAGGAAATGCCACTGTAAGAAGCAATGTAGAAATAAGGGTGGCATGGTATATGGAGTATGCCATGCTTACGTATGTGTTGCTGCTGTGGCTTTAAACTTGTAAACGTGATTACTTAGGTATCTGGGAGAACTAATTTTTTTGACAGATAATAACTTGGAAATTGGATCCAGTGCTCCTGAAAGCTAATTGCTATATAGGAATTCCCCGGGTTACGTACAAAATTGGGGCTGTAAGTTTGTTCTTAAGTTGAATTTGTATGTAAGTCGGCCTTGGCGCAGGGAGTTTTTTAAAATGGCCCCGGCGGCACTTCACATCCCCTTCCCCCACTCCCCTCCACGGCCAGTCTCGGGCTGGGGCCAAGTGCTCCCCGTGCACCCTGACCGACCGCTGCAGCACCCGGAGGCCGCAGCCCGGCGCAGGGCCGGGTGTTTAACGGCTGAGGCGGATTCCCCTTTAAATCTCCCCGCCTGCCCCCCAATGCAGTTTTTAAAATGGCCCCGGCGGCACTTCACATCCCCTTCCCCCACTCCCCTCCACGGCCAGTCTCGGGCTGGGGCCAAGTGCTCCCCGTGCACCCTGACCGACCGCTGCAGCACCCGGAGGCCGCAGCCCGGCGCAGGGCCGGGTGTTTAACGGCTGAGGCGGATTCCCCTTTAAATCTCCCCGCCTGCCCCCCAATGCAGTGGGCGCGCCGGACTCCCTCAGTGCCGCCGCCGGGGCGCAGCTGGTGCGGGGCGCCTCCCCCACTGTTGGCGCCTCTGGCGGCGCGGGGGGCGGCTCCCCC